ATTAATTGGAATTTTAAATGTTTTAAAAATTTTTTTTTTTTTTTTTTTTTTTAGTTTCACTGTATTTGCCAAAAAACAACAACAAACAAACAAAAATGGTGTGTATTTTTTTTGTAATGTACTGATTTATGAGAGCAAAAGGTTATACACATGTTTTTATGTGGTAATTAGTTCCGATTTCGGGTTTCTAAAATCAACTATAATTCTTTCAAAACAGTAGAAACAAAGATAAAAAATTAAGATATCCACATAACCTTCTTTTATCAATTTATCTTCCATAGAAATCCACATCTCCTCTTCGGATGAAGAAGAAATATCAAAGTCCTTGATACAAAACGGTATGTGAGATACTTCGGTACAATGTTTAGATGACAAGTACAATAGCTGGTAAAAGAACAAAATAATATTTGACTATTTTCGTACAAAGTGTGAAAGTTAATCAGCTATTACAAAACATATTTGCCGAGGATGTAAGTCTACAATTTCTACAAATAACTTGAATCAAAGTTAGAAGTGCGAACCTATCACGTTGCTGAGTAGAGAGTATAATGGTGAACTGTACGAATATCGTAGTTTGAAACGGTTATTGAAACAATAACGTAAAATAAATGGAATAAATGGTTTATATGACACACACACACATGTTGACTCACTTCGTAAAAATGATAATGATTTTATAGTGAGTTATTTAGTTGAAAGTGAAAATCTGGATGTATCCTAAAGTATTGAAACACAGTGTAAATAGTATGTCAAATCAAAAAAGTATATAATAGTGGACTTTGTGTTTATCACATTGATGGATAGAGGGTATAATGATGCACTGTGTGAACAGCATGTTTGTTACATTAGTTAGTAGGGAGTATAAAGGCAGACTGTGTGAACAGCATGTTTGTTACATTAGTTAGTAGGGAGTATAAAGGCAGACTGTGTGAACAGCGTGTTTGCTACATTAATTAGTAGGGGTATAAAGGTAGACTGTGTGAACAGCGTGTTTGTTACATTAGTTAGTAGGGAGTATAAAGGCAGACTGTGTGAGCAGCGTGTTTGTTACATTAGTTAGTAGGGAGTATAAAGGCAGACTGTGTGAACAGCGTGTTTGCTACATTAATTAGTAGGGGGTATAAAGGTAGACTGTGTGAACAGCGTGTTTGCTACATTAGCTAATAGCAGGTGTAATGAAACTGTGTAATTGTTACTTTAGTTTTAAGCAATGCATATGAAAAGCTGACGTGAATGATGCGACCTAACTGATGGCCTCTAAGTGTTGAACAACAGACTTTACGAGTGGTGGTGACCTCTGTCAGACAAAACATACGTTTTAAATACTTTATTACATTTCTGTGGTTTATAACTCATAAAAAAGTGATAAAAAAGAATGGTAAGATTATCTACAAGTTAACATAAATTTTATCGTGTTTTCTTGGGCCTAAAGAGGCGAGTGTGTTAAATTAGTTGTTGTAAAGTAAAAGTGCAAAGCTTAGATGGCAAATACTTTGCTACAAACTATGAGCTGGTAAAATAACAAAATAATATCTGACTATTTTTGTACAAAGTATGAAAGCTGTGAAAGTTAATCAGCTATTAGAAATGCAAAGCTATCACGTTGCTGAGTAGTGTGAATAGTGCAGTTTGAAACGGTTATTGCAACGATAACATAAAATAAATGTAATGCGTTCTCTTTTATAGTGGCAGCGACAGCATCGGCAAACAAAACACAAACAACAGGCTTATTTGGAATACAATATTCTTATTAGAATTTTTAAGAACAAAGACCGAGTAACTAATTTAATATTATAGTTTGTTTGTTTCTTTGTTTTGAATTTCGCGCAAAGCTACACGAGGGTTATCTGCGCTAGCCGTCCATAATTTAGCAGTGAAAGACTAGAGGGAGGGCAGCTAGTCATCACCACCCACCGCCAATTCTTGGGCTACTCTTTTACCAACTAATAGTTGGATTCACCGTCGCATTATAACGCCCCCAGCGGCTGAAAGAGCGAGCATGTTTGGTGGGACGGGGATTCGAACCCGCGACCCTCAGCTTGCGAGATAAGCGTCCTAACCACCTGGTCATGCCGGACCTAATAAAATTATAGCACTAGCTTTGTCCGACCCGTCGAAATAATAATGTTATAGTACTAGCTTTGTCCGACCCGTCAAAATAATAATGTTATAGTATTAGCTTTGTCCGACCCGTCAAAATAATAATGTTATAGCACAAATAATAGTTTTGGTCGGATATTGGATTTCGGATATCCGGCTCCTGATATCCGATTTGAATCGGATATTATCTGATCAGAAAGTAGATGTGGCCATACATAATGAAGATGCACCGCAAGCTAAGCTTTCGTTTAATTATCTAATATAAATAAATGCCAGTTGTCTTTTGGTAACCGCTCTGTTCATCTGTGACGCTTAGCAACGAAACTATACTATATATATAGCCCCCCAGTGGCACAGTGGTATTTCTGCTAGCTTACAACGCTAGAATCCGGGTTTCGATACCCGTGGTGGGCAGAACGCAGATAGCCCATTATGTAGCTTTGTGCTTAATTACAAACAAACAAACTATATATATATTAGATTCGAACTTAAAAACGCAGAAAGAATATTTTAACTGTATAGGTTACTTTAGCATTAAAACATATTAACATTTGTTTAAAAGTGTTGAATGTTTATGAGAAACATATTTTGACGGGTCAGACAAAGCTAGTACTATAATATTATTTTGACGGGTCAGACAAAGCTAATATTATTTATTTATTTTTTCACATTTTCGGGCAATTCACAAAAGGGTTCTTTCTATCTAACGTACACATTTGAAATGATAAACAAAAAGGTATAGTATGTACATGTAATGTCTTTAAATGTGCTGCACCCCAGTAGCAAGTCTGACGGCCCATATAGCTAAACTCGGGGTTACGATACTCGTGGTTGGCACAGCACAAATAGCCCATTGTGTAGCTTTGCGCTTAAGAACAAACAAATTAAATGAGTTTTTATTTGCAGCTGTGACAAACTTATGCTTCATTCTTTGTACTGGCAAAGTCAATGGAGGAAACATTTATTTTTAACATCAAGTGAATACCTTTTTTTGCCAAGAGCTGATTTAAAAATCGCTCATATGTAGCCAAAGTGTTATGAACTATGGGTTAGTTTTTTAGTTTAGGTCTAAACCACGTAAACTTTTGCAGGTAACATACCTAACTAAATATGCTGTGAAGACTATTTAAAAAAAAACAACAGTTTCGGTTATTTTCAATTTTGTTTGACTAACATTTAGGCGCTTAGGTAATAACAATAAGCATGCTATCTTTATCACAGGAAAGAAACAATGGCCCCCAAACTCCGCAGAAGGCAAACAAAAGACCTCTTTCGAAGACGCAAAAGACAAGAGACTAGGTAAAGTTTATATAACTGTTTTTTTGTTGTTGTTGTTATTTTTTCTACTATCATAGTGTTTAATATTCTATCATGCATCTTTTTTCGTTCTTCCGCCTGATCTATGTACTTAGGTAGGTTCTAATCTTTCTACTAGGTGGTGATGTGAAGATTAGCAATGATTATACCAAGCAGGCAGACAGAACTGGTTACAGCGCTTCCAGCACCTCAGGTATTATTGGTAATATTTCTTTCATTGTAAGTTTTGATGTATAAATTGGTTTAATAGAGTAACTGAGTTAAAGTTTAAAAAGCTTTGCTAAGCCTAAAATGATTATAACAAGTAGGCAGACAGAACTGGTTACAGCGCTTCCAGCACCTCAGGTATTATTGGTAATATTTCTTTTATGGTAAGTTTTGATGTATAAATTGATTTAATAGAGTAACTGAGTTAAAGTTTAAAAAGCTTTGCTAAGCCTAAAATGATTATAACAAGTAGGCAGACAGAACTGGTTACAGCGCTTCCAGCACCTGAAGTATTTTTGGTAATATTTCTTTTATTTTATTGTAAATTTAATGTATGAGTTGGTGCAATAGGTTAACTGAGTTAAAGTTAAACACTTTTGCTAATCCTAATAGAAAAATCTAGTAAATTCATGCAATATCCGGTAAAACAGCGCTGAATAACTTTTAACTCTCCTTGTACAGGCTGAAGGTTATAATGGTCAATAACTATTTTAGGGATTTGTTATAAAGTCCTACGGAAAATTCAGTAATTATGTGTTGTTTGTTTAGGAAATTATTTCAGTGTTTCAAATGTTGTAACGGATATTGTAGATTTAAAATAAGATTATTATACAAAGTAAATGGAGTATATATATATATATGTGTGTGTGTGTTTTAATGACATTCTTCAATTTTTTTACGAAATAAAACATGCTTACCCTTTATAGATTTTACTAAATGGTACCCAAGTTTCCTTCTTTAACATCACATAAAATACAATAGTTTATTACTGTCAGCGCAGCTCTTTAGGTATAACTGAAGGGAAATATTGTATGTTACCATTGTTCGCATATAGTACAAGATAACTGTTCGAAACGGCTAGAAATTGGTGCATTTAAATTTCCCCCTAGGTTATAATTAATTTTGTTTTTAACATTTAACACGTAGACATATGACCGAAATTAAGAAAATAATTATCTTCATCTTTAAAACCAAGTAAAATACTAATAACAATTTGAACTTACGTATTGATAAAAAAAAAGTCGAACTAATGAATAAACTATTACGTCAGTAACAATTTATATATTTGAGACTTTATCACAAAACTGAATGTTTTTTACTCAACATTGTGTATATGTATATATATATAACTTTGTAAAACGCCATACAATAATCAGAGTCCTCCAGCTGTCACTAAATCACATGTTGTGTCGTATCAATTATACCTTTTTACCGACAACCATTGTGGGTAACATTCAGGATCTGAACCAGTTCAATAAATCATTTTACCTGACAACCATTGTGGGTAACATGGTTGTCAGGTAAAATGATTTATTGAACTGGTTCAGATCCTGAATTGTGGGTAACATTCAGGATCTGAACCAGTTCAATAAATCATTTTACCTGACAA